TACTTCCGTAGTGATACTGCCTCGGAAACCCAAGGAGGGGTCGCTATGAGTCGGGGCCGACTCGACGGCACATAACAACAACAACAACAATGGTGGATGCATTTCCTGAGAAAATGAAAGATTAACATGATCAAAAGGATCAAAGTTTAACTCCTTAAAGAAAATAGACTTGCATGCTAATCACATATGAGCAGCATGGTGTGTTCCTAACCTCATCTGTCTCTCACACAGTACAGCTTCTGGATTGTACTTGAACTTCCAAAGCGAACTTAGACTTTTACTAAGATAGCTGTATTTTAATGTGGTTTTGATGTACATTTTGATGTTTGTTATATTAAGTCACCTGGGAATGTTTGGTCAGCTTTCATCTCATAACTCAGTATATTGTGTGGAGACGTAATACCTAGTGCTCGTTTATCCATTGTCAGAATAATAGTATGGGGCAAAACAGGAAAGTCGACTGACCTGCTGTCCTTCCACTCTTCTTGGGAGACTGTGCTGGCTAGGCGGCTGGGCCCATCAGACAAGGCACTGTCCACTTGGAGTGTGTGCATGGGAATGTGTGTGGGAGTGTGTTTGGAATTGTCTTGACCACAGGAACTTGACGTGGAAAGCCTGAAGGGTCCTGGGGAGCAGTGTCCTGGGGAGCAGAGCTGGGAAGCGGGGTCCCTGTGGCTGGCCTTTTCTTGTGATCATCCCGCCATCCCTTTCAGGGCATATTCCACTTCCAGCTGGGCCGAGGCGAGCCGATGCTGCACACACGCCTACGTCCTCACTGCAAGGAGTTCCTGGAGAAAGTCGCCAAGCTGTACGAACTGCACGTCTTCACCTTTGGCAGCCGGCTGTACGCACACACAATCGCAGGTGGGCAGCTTGGAGCTGGCTGGGGTACAGCGACCCTAAACCCTTCAGCAGAGAGGGCAGGAGGCAGGATTATTTCCTATTTTTAAGGATAAAGAGGAAAAGAATAAGTATCCTTGAAACTAAGTTGGTAGTTGGGAGAGAGCATGTGAGTCTCCTCAGCTGCTCAGATGTGTGACGGGGTGGAGTGGGGAGGGTGGTGCTTGCACACAGACTCCCTAGCAGTCAGACTCCACTGCAGTGGCCACGTGGGCTCTCCTCCAGGGAGACAAGGTTGATTTACCATCTCAGGATAATTCCCATCAGTACGATAAAGGACAAAAGCCACACATTGCTGTCAACAGACACACAAGAAGGGATGTGACGGAATCCAGCACCTTTTCATGATTTAGCAAACCAGGTGTAGAGGAGAACCCCTCGGCCGGATCGAGGGCATGGGCTGAGAGCTCCCAGCTCACGCCAGACGGAGTGCTCTCCCCAGGGAACCAGGATGCCCGTTTTTACCACTTCTCTTCAGCAGTGTACTGGAAGTTCCAGTGAGGCAAGAAGATGAATTAAACAAAATCCATATTGGGAAGCAAGAAGTAAGACCGGCCCTTTTCACAGATGACATGATCTTATCTGTAGAAAACTCCAGGAAATCCACTGAAAACTATTAGAACTCATGAACACATTCAGCAGGGTTGCAGGATACAAGATCAGTGTACAAACGTCAGTTTTATTTCTGTATACCAGTAAGTTATCTGAAGATGAAATGAGGCAGATTTCTTTTAGAGTAGTATCAAAAAGAATGAAGTCCTGAGATCACCTTTTAGCAGAAGAGCAGAATGACACACGCGATAAAGGATATTACTGTTAGGTTGGTACATTCCTGAGAACCATCTCTGTGAGTTCAAAAGGTCAGCAGGTACTCTAACGTTAGCAAGGGGCCAAGGACACTAGAGCACTGGAAATGGGACAACCAGAACACAAAGGGAATGATAACTCATTGTGAGAAATACAATTGTGTCATTGACCAAGGGGGTGGAAATTGTAAAATGGGAGCCTAACTTGCTATGTATACGTCCATGGAAAAAAAAAAAAAACTATTTGAAAAGAAAATACATAGAAGTAAATTAATAAGAGAAGCATAGAACTTACACACTGAAGAGTATAAAATATTATTGAAAGGAATTAAAGAAGTTCTAAATGAATGGAAAGACATACTGTGGTCGTGGATCAAAAACTTTTGTTAAGATGGCAGTACCCCAAAAAACCCAAACCATCAAAGATGGCTCTAGTGCTCTCCAAATGGATCTATAGATTTAACTCTGCCCTAGCAAAATCCCAGCTCACTGTTTCTAAGAAATTGGCAATCTGATCTGAAAGTTGATATGGAAACGTAAGGGACTCAAGAGTAGCCAAAGCCATCTTGAAAGAGCGGGAGGACTTGGCACAAGGCTGCACTCACATGACAGTGTGGTGCTGGTGAAGGATAGGTGACACGCACACTCATCTTCGGGGTGCTGAAGCCCCGTGAGCTCCCTGTGTGCAGGTGACCCCGTGTGGTGCTGCTGTGAGGGTGGGCGACACACACACTCGTCCCCAGGGTGCTGAGCCCCGCGAGCTCCCTGGACAGAGGTGACATGACTTGAAATCTGTGTTTCTTTTAAAAGGCTTTTTAGACCCCGAAAAGAAGCTCTTCTCTCACCGGATACTATCACGGGATGAATGCATTGACCCTTTTTCTAAAACGGGGAATCTCAGGTATGCACTCAAGCGTGGTCATCCCTCAACAGCTCAGTGCTCAGTCTCGTTTTAAAGGTGCATTTTGGGAGTTAGAGCGATACCTCTGTATTGAGAGTTTTCTTGTTACTCATGGGCTGCCCTCCCCCTATGAACTTCCCATGAGCCAGCCCCCTCTGAACCACCTCCCCATGGGCCGTGCACCCCCAAGGGCACCCCTTATGGGCTGTGTACCCCATGGGCCACCCCCACGTGGTCACCCTTCCTCCTGGGCTGTCCTCATTCATGGGCTGCTGTGCCTCATGGGCTGTCCCCCCTCATGGGCCACCCTCTGCTGAGCCACCCCCCTCATGGGCCACCCCTCCATGGGCTATCCCCTTTGATGAGCCACCCTCCCCCCATGGGCTGCCCTGCCTTATGGGCTATGCACCACCATGGGCTACAACCCCCTGCAGCAGTCCTTTTAGATTTAGGCAACACACATGACTGCAGCCTGGTCACGTACCAAATGAGGAGGAAGATTAGTTTGCTTCTCAAACCGTATTTTTACTGGTTGCTTAATGATGGACAGACGGATGAGGGCAAAAGAGAATAAAGAGCAAAGAGTTGCCAGAGCTTTCACTTCATAGAATACGAGGGTCGGGAAGATGGGGACGCACCCAGGAAGGTCTGCAGGCCCATCTGGACACGCTGGACATGAGGGTCGGGGAGAGGGGGATGCACCCAGGACACACCTAGGGGGGTCTGCAGGCCCATCTGAACACGCTGGATATGAGGGTCGGGGAGAGCGGGACACACCCAGGACACACCTAGGGGGGTCTGCAGGCCCATCTGGACACGCTGGGTACGAGGGTCGGGGAGAGGGGGACGCACCCAGGACACACCTAGGGGGGTCTGCAGGCCCATCTGGACACGCTGGACGTGAGGAGCAGGGAGAAGGCGATATACTCAGGATGGATCCAGGCCGATCTGGTCACTCTGACCTGGAAAGGGGATCACTGTGTCCATCTCAATTCAGTGTGGTTTTCATCTCTCTTGTCTGTAATTAATGTACCAGAAAGCGATTGTATAAATTATTTTTGCTATGTTTTATTTTAAAGCAGATCCTCTATGGAAAAACAGATTCCTGGGAAATAACATTAATGAGTTTTATGCACATGAACATGTGTCCCAGGTAGTCATGGTCTTGGTTAACAGCCAGAGGATCCAGGGTCTGTGGACTCAGTGCTGGCAGGCGGTCATCTCTCTTCTATCTCCTCGTTCTGGATGTAGAGTCCTGCAAGCCGGCCTGTCTATACCTCTAACCCCAGGCCACGGTTGAACTTAATCAAATGCAGGAGGGCAGCAGAGCTGTGTCCTGCCTTGGTCACATGGCTCTGTGGGCCTTTGGGGTTCTGTTTACCCTGCCCATCCATGGCTTTTGGAAATATATCAGTTACTTCCTTGGACTTGAAGAAACACCATCTCTGTATATCACAGGGACAGTTTTATTCTAAACAGCTAAGATTTAGGAAGTTCATACTCTCCCTGTGTGTGAAGTCTCTTCTCAGAGCAGGACTGTCATCAACGAAGCCTTCCTGGTGCATAGCCACACCCATTTGCTTTTCTGTTGCCTGGACTGCTTTCACAGTACAATGACAGCCCCAGAGATGAAAATGTCTGGCGGTTATGTGCAGATTAGAATCCGAAACCTTTGTGCTGAGCAGCACACATGATTATTCCAATTTTCAGTTACTCATTTTTGTAAAGTGTTAACGGTATTGATAATGTTTTTACTTCTAGAAATCTCTTTCCTTGTGGAGACTCAATGGTTTGCATTATTGATGACCGAGAAGATGTCTGGAAGTTTGCCCCCAATCTGATAACTGTGAAGAAATATGTCTACTTCCAGGGCACAGGTGATATCAACGCTCCCCCAGGGTCCCGGGACACTCAGATGAGGAAGAAGGGTAGGTGGCCGCTCTGCTAATGGGGTGGAAAGAGATATTCACGCTCCCCTGTCGTTTACCTCCTCTCACTCCTCACCTCTGTTTGGCTGCTGCAAATTGCAGATTAACTTTGGGTTTTGTTGTTTGTGTTATGTTTCAATGGTGTTGGAGGTGGTTGGGTTTGTTTGTGTACTACTAAAAAGCATGCTGTTGTTTGGCTTCATTTTGGGTGGTTTTATTTCTTAAAATAGTACTAACCTGGATGCTCGCCTCAGTCGAATAAGGATGAAAGAACACTGCTTCATTATGCTTAGGAATATCACGTTCCTCCTGCTTCCTTTAAAAGGCACCAGCCCAGCAGTGGAATTCAGCCCAGCGTTCTGTTAGAGCAAACTGTGGGGCCTGCTGGGCCCAGGGCTCAGAACCAGCTGGGTTCTGCACACCCCAAGCACAAAGCTGGGGTCTCTCTTAGGGCAAGTAAGAACTTTACGTGTAGTCTCTGTGGTGAGCTTTAGAGTGGAGTACTCTGGGTCATGCAGTTCCTGCTGTCATCCACTTGGTGGAGTCTAGCGATCCGGGTGGACAGGTGCTGGTGCTGAGCCCAAGGTCACTGGAACCGGGGCTGGCAGACAGCAGCTGGGCCTGAAACGGCCTGCACGCTCACAGTGGCTTGCCGTTTTTAATCACCTGTATAAGAAAATATATGACGGAGGATACGCGGCCCCCATACCCTAGAGCATTTGCCGTCTGGCTCTTTACAGCAAAAGTTTATGACTTCTGGTCTAAAGAGGTTAGGTTCAAACAGCAGGGCGAGGCTGCCTTTCATTTGATGTGCTGCTTGGTGTTGGTGGTAAATAACAGGACTTTGTCTTCTGTGTGCACGTTTAGTAAATCAGTCTCCTAAGAGCACTGATCCTTCAGAGCTTGCGCTGTCCGGGAAGGACCCTGACGAAGGCAGGCCTGCTCCCAGAGCAGAGCAGAGCAACGGCCTTGGGAAGCCCTCCATGGAGCCGAACGGCAGCACGGCAGGGACGGGCGGCTCTTCCAGTGGGGACGCACCCACCTGTAAGAAAGTGGATGAGGGTGAACACTCAGCCCCGGCCCTGGGCACCGTGACAGGCGACAGCGAGCCGGCCGGCAGGAAGGAGCCCCTGGTGTCCTCAGAACAGGGTGGCCAAGTGTCACCAGAGCAGCAGTCTGCTCACGACACCCCAGGGAATGACCTGGACTTTGACTTATCTAGTGACAGTGAGAGCAACAGTGAGCTTGACGGCCACAGGTCGTCCTCTGCATCCGATAGTGACAGCGAGGGGAAGAGGGGGCGCAGAAAGCGTAGGGACATCCAGGAGGATGCAAGCACCCGCCCTGGAGCAGAGAAACACATGGGAGCCATTCCCTCTGGCGTGTGTGGGCCCAGTGTCCATCCACAGGACAAAGGCCCTGACCTGGAGGTGGCAGACGAGGGTGAGCAGGGCAGCCTCTGTGACCTGGGGAATGGCTGTGTGGACCGCAAGGAGGCCGAGACCGAGTCCCAGAACAGTGAGCAGTCGGGCATCACTGTGGGCGAGTCGCTGGACCAGAGTGTGGAAGAGGAGGACCAGGAGGACAGTGATGATGACGACCACCTGGTCCACCTGGAGGAGATACTTGTCCGGGTGCACACCGACTACTATGCCAGGTATGACAGGTACCTCAGCAAGGAGACAGAGGAGGCCCCGGACATACGGAGAATTGTCCCAGAGCTGAAGAGCAGAGTGCTGGCCGACGTCACCATCATCTTCAGTGGCCTGCACCCCACCAACTTCCCTGTGGAGAAGACCCGCGAGCACTACCATGCCACGGCACTCGGGGCCAGGGTCCTCACCAACCTCGTACTGAGTCCCGACGACCCCAACAGGACCACCCACCTGATTGCAGCCAGAGCTGGTGAGTGTCATCTTTGGGGTGGGAGCCCAGAGTGCAGTGTTACCACTGTGCGTCATTGCTCTGTCTTCTCAATTAGCATTGCTATTTTTTTCATGTTGAATATTCAAAATTTTTTTCCCAAATCACAGCTGTTAGCAGATACGTTGATGGTTGCGAATTGAGAAGCTCTGCTGTGCGCTGTGTGCTCTGCACCTGCAGTCCTTGTGAGTGCAGCCTGTGTACAGCCTGTGTACAGTCCTCACGGCAGTAGCTGCCTGTGCTCTGTTTCCTGTGCAGAGTCTGAAGCTTCTGTCTCAGAAGGGCTGGGAGTGGGTTAGAAGTGGAAAGTCAACCATAGTGAGTCGATAATGAAGCAATACATGGTGAGCTGTTTCCAGAGGGGTCAGGGTCTTTGATTTACAGGCTAAAAGACTGACCAGCCCTGTGATAGAACTTGCACACAAAGATCTCACCTGGAACAAGAGCTGGTAGTAGTTTAATGAGTCTGGAAGAGTAGAGAATGGAATCGCGTTCTTACTCAACAGTAAGCTCCCCCTCAGCCACCCAGGGGGTCGCGGCCTTGCTGGACAATGAGCTGTCCCTCAGAGACCCAAAGGACCGCGTCCTTACCTGACATTGACCTCCCCCTCGAGAGACCCAGAGGGTCTAGTCCTTACTCAACAGACAACAAGCTCCTCCTCAGCCACCCAGAGGGCCGTGTCCTTACTTGACAGTGAGCTCCCCCTAGAGACCCAGAGGGTTGTGTCCTTACCCGACAGGGAGCTCCCCCTCAGAGACCCAGAAGGTCATGTCCTTACCTGACAGCGAGCTTCCCCTGGAGACCCAGAAGGTCATGTCCTTACCTGACAGTGAACTCCCCCTCAGAGACCCAGGAGGTCACATCCTTACCAACAGTGAGCTCTCCCTCAGCCACCCAGGTCATGTCCTTACCTGACAGCGAGCTCCCCCTCAGGTACCCAGAAGGTCGTGTCCTTACCTGACAGTGAACTCCCCCTCAGAAACCTAGAAGGTCACATCCTTACCCATCAGTGAGCTTCCCCCTCAGAGACCCAGAAGGTCGTGTCCTTACCTGACAGCAAGCTCCCCCTCAGGTACCCAGAAAGTCACGTCCTTAACCAACAATGAGCTCCCCCTCAGAGACCCAGAGGGTCTTACCTGACAGTGAGCTCCCCCTCAGATATCTAGGGGATCACATTTCTACCTGATGACCTTTGTCAGCACTTCTCCTTGTGCCTGGCCGGTGGCTACTTTTCAGGGGTCTAGAAGATGGCGTTTGTCTGAGTTGAGGATGTGATGGGTTATGGCAATAGATGGAGTTGGGTTTGGGTTCTGCAGAGGAGTGGAGGCCTCGTGACAAGAGGGGTGTTGTAAGGGCTCTGGAGGAGGGGGTTGTGACAGAAGGATCCTTCTAGGAATGTTGAGCTGGCAGTCCTGAGGGAGTAAATTGATGTCCAGGACAGACTGGCCTGGATGACCAGATTCCCAGGTCACAGGGTGGGACATGGGAGAGACACAGGTGCAGAGGCACCATGGAAGGGACATGGTTTTGTGGCTGTGAAACAGCTCCCCCCAGTGGTAGGTCTGGGAGAGGAAGGTAGGGTTTGATGCGGGGCTTCAGAGAACATGCACACTTCCAGAAAGCTTCTGAGTACGAGGGTCTCAGGTAAGCGGGGCAGTGAGCCTCAGCCCCAGTGAGTGTTGCAGCCTGCTGTTGGTGCCGAGTGTGTGACTGTGTATGGAAAACACACACCCCAGGGCATGGAGAGAGCATAACTGGGCAGGAGATCACCTAGGTGGGGGCGGGGCCGAGAAGGAGCCGTGGTTAACTGAGGTACACTCAGGTGGGTACCCTGAGAAGGGCCACCTGGGTGGGAGTAGGGCAACAGGGTGGCACTTGGTGAATGGCAGTGTATTGGCCCCTCACTGGCCCTGTGAGGACCTCAGGCCTGTCCAGTCAGGGCCACACAATGGCAGGCCATCACTTGCTGCCTGCCACTTCATGGAAGATGGTGACCAGGTATAGTATGGGGACAAAGAGGCCACACTTATCCCGCAGGACATGATAGCGTTGAGTGAGGCATTTGTGGGGTAGGCAAAAGCAGATAGACAGGTGGTCTGTGTGGAAGACAGTTGACAAGACTCAAGGAGGGATGCTTATGGGAGTGGAGGTTAAGGTTGGTGTTGTGGGAAGTTAACATGTTCTGATAGGAGCTCCATCACTTGTCAACCAGGGGACCAGACGTTATGAGCTGAGACAAGAGGGGTGTGAGGTGACACCCAGGCTCAAGATTGCCCCAAGAGGGGGTCCTTGCCCTGAGGGCCCTTAGGTACCAAGCCTGTCTGTGTGGTAGAAGGTCTGTGAGCCCTCCTGGTCTGACGCACGGTCTCCCTGCAGGCACCGAGAAGGTACGCCAGGCCCAGGAATGTAGGCATCTGCATGTGGTGAACCCCGACTGGCTGTGGAGCTGCTTGGAGAGGTGGGACAAGGTGGAGGAGCAGCTCTTCCCTCTCAGGGATGACTCCACCAGGACGCAAAGGTGAGCACACCCACTCCCCAGTCATCACACAGGAGGGCCAGGGGCTGGGCTGGCGCATGGCAGTGTCTCGGGGCGTTGGGGGGAGCCAGCCAGCCTCGGTGCGCCTGCATGCCAACCCTTACTGCTGAAGTCAGGGCTAAGGGTGGGAAGCCCTCGCTAATGGGTCAGAGCCAGGATCCACACCCCAGGCTGCTGCAAAAGGTTGTGTTCTTGGGACGTAGAGCTTCAGTGAGCTTGTGGGTATCCCCTGGCAGCCTGTCCTGGACTTCCACCCTCGGCTCTCATGCATCCTCTTTCCCACAGAAAGGGTTTCACTGATACCCTGTTTACTCACTCATGATCCTAAAAGCACTTACATGGGCCATTATAATCTAAAAACCAAAGTGTTTTTTCTTTTGGAAAAATGCAGTGTGGTATGGACAGTGAATCTTAGCTTCCTCACAAAGTTACTGTAGGGTCTTCCTCACGAAGTCACCACAGGGTCTTCCATGTGAAGTCACCACAGGGTCTTCCTCACTAAGTTACCACGGGGTCTTCCTCATGAAGTTTCCATGGGGTCTTCCTCACGAAGTTTCCATGGGGTCTTCCTCACGAAGTTTCCATGGGGTCTTCCTCAC